AGAGAGTTTTTAGTTAGAAAGGAGAAACATTCTGTCTTATACCTATGACTGTAATCAGTGGGATTCTTGACAGGAAGATGAATCTAACTTACACAGGGAACTACTACAGTTTGAAACTTTCATGGAAATCCTACTTCAGTAATCACAGTTATATAGACTTGCTGCTGAAATTACACAGTGGCTTGCCAACAAAGCATAAAAACAATATATATCCTCAGCTATAACATATTAATGTTTGAGTATGTACAATATATAGTTATTGTTCAAACACTAATTGTGCAAATGTAACATAAAATTCACAAACACTGAAAGCTATTCTCATTTCTCAGTAATTATGAACATAATTAAAGTTACATGCCTTTGGAAAAAAAACACGTGCACAATAATATTCACATTTGTAATATTAACTCATTGAATATATTAATATATTAATGACTTGCTTTTAACTAATTAAAGTTATAATAGAGTTGTGCACAAAGCAGCAATTTTTTTTTTTCCAAATCTGGAATACATCATTGTGTTCCAAAAGTTCTGTCATGGTTTGGCCAAGGGATCCCAGTGTAATTTTATAGGATCAATAGGACAAGGCTTGTAAACAACCCCTTCTCCTCCACTTGGCCTGCGGCTGACAAGCCTTTCCCATCATCCTAGCACCTTCCTTGCTGTTCCTCCCCTCAACCATCCCCTTCACTGATGTCCCAGGGCAACTTATTCCAACACCAGCCACCTTCTCCATCTTTCTTTCTAGCCCTTTCTTTACATTCCTTCTCTCTCCCATTGTCTCGCTGCCAGTGACCCACTGCCTGAGGGCCCCGGGACCTTGTCTTCCCTCCTTTCCTGCCTGCTTCCACTGATGTTAGCAGACACCATTGGCAAGGAAACCACTTAGCCCTCCAACCACTTCTGCCTAGAAAACACATTATGGTCTATATTCCAAACATCCCCTTTTCAATTCGTATAAAGAATCAAAATATTCAGAACATATTTGGGCATGGACCATCCAAAAACAGCTGTTCCAGGTAAGTGCATGTAAGAAGGTTTTGCACAACTCCAACTTGTAATCACATCAGCTTGAAGTTCTCTTAACAATGCAGACACAGATGTACTTTGGAGGAGGGGAAAAGAAAGACTAGATCAAATTCTAACAAATGTTACATTGCTAACCTAATTAGCAAGAATTTGTTTTATACTTCCTAACCCCATTTATGAAATACCATATTCACTCATTAAATTTGCAGTTTCTGTTTAAATTACAATTCAAGGTTTGTTTTATTCTGATGATTTAGCTGTAAGTGATGTAAACTATCAAAAATGGGAATAGATTTTTTTGTTTATAGACAAGGTTTTATAATTATTTCAAAACCTAATTTAGTTGTTCAGAAAACCTATGTCTAAACCAGTGCAGAGTGACAACACATCCAAATTTAGCTTTGTTTTGTATCAGCTCCTTCTATCCAATATAAAAAAAAAATTAACAAGCATGATATACTAGAAATAGAAGACATACAAGACTCACTTTAGTAAGTCCAGACTTAGAATAGTTGACTGGCAGTTTCAGCATCCCAGAAGAGGGTATTCTCCAGGAAAGATGACACAAGGGCAGTATTACTTATGTATGATTGTTTGTTTGTTTGTTTGTTTATTTAACAAATTTATATAGCCCCCTCATCTCACAAAACATGACTTTGGGCAGCATACAATACATAAAAATAATACACATCATACAACATTAAGTAAAAACAAAAGAGATACAACTCAGGATAGTGGGAGAGACAACCATCACTTAACATCACACAACCATCTTGCCAACTCACCATGGGACCCCCAAAATTGATGGAAAAAACACCTTGAGGCTTTCAGGAAGGCAAGTAGGGATGGGGCCGATCTCACCTCAGGGGGAATGATCACCTCAGGGCCATAGCAGAAAAGGCACACTGCCTGAGTCCCACCAGATGTGGGACTCCTTACACTCCTTAGCAGACTGGACCTGTAGCATATCCCTCCTGTTCAACCTGATGAGATGGGTAGATGTAATCGGGAAGAGGTGGTCCCTCAAATAACCTGGTCCCATGCCATGTAGGGCATTAAAGGTCAAAACCAGCACCTTGAATTGCATTTCAAAGCAAACTGGCAACCAATGCAGCTTGCAGAACAGAGACATAACATGTGTCATTCTAAGGAAACATATAACTGTCTGCACAGTTGCATTCTGCACCAGCTAAAGCTTCCAGATACTCTTCAAGGGCAGCCCCATGTACAGCACATTGCAGTAATCCATTCTAGAGGTGACCATGGCATGAGTAACTTTGAGTAGGGCCTCATGGTCCAGGAAAGGGCATAACTGGTGCCCCACAGAAAGAAAGCAAACCAGCATAATCCTATGCCATCCACTCCTAACCTGCAGAGCTGATCCAGAAGAATACCATGGTCAAAGGAATTGAAAGCCACTGAGAGGTCAAGAGCAAGGACAGGTGTACAACTTCTGTCACGTTCCTGCCAGAGTTCATCCAAAAGTGCTGCCAATGCTCTCTCCATCTCATATCCAGGCCTGAATCCCAACTGAAAGGGGTCCAGGTCATCCACTTCATCGAGGGCCCACTAAAGCTGCTGCACAGCCACCTTCTCCAAAACCTTCCCAAAAAAGAGAGGTTAGACACCAGATGAAAATTCTCCATGGTTGAATCCAGCGATGGCTTCTTGAGGAGGAGGTGACCACCGCCTCCTTAAGAAGTGATGGAACAACCCCCTTTCAAAGAAGAGTTCACCATTGCTAGGATCCAACCAAACAACACCCTCCAGGCAGGCTTAACTAGCCAGGAAGGGCATGGATCTAAGGAGCAGGTGGCTCCACTTCCTCAGGTCCAACAGGATCAAACCATTCTCAGATAACAGGGCAAGACTGTGCCCTGGATACCTCTACTGGATCTGCATTAAAACTGGAGTCCAGCTTGGAACAAATCTGAGTGATTTTGTCCATCAGATGCTCCGCAAATTCCTCTGCATGGCCTTGCAAGTAAACGTCTGAGTCCTCCTTTCCCAGGAGAGCTCATGTTCCCTTAAACAAGGCTGCAAGGTGGCTATCTGCAGACGCAATAAGGGTGGAGAAGTATTGACGCTTCACCACCCTTACCACCACAAGGTAGGCCTTAACAGCAGCTCTCAGCAATGTTCACTCAAGTTCATCCCATGTCAACCTCCAGCAATGCTCTAGACGTCTCTTCTCCCATTTCATTTCCCTAAGCTCCTCTGTAAACCATGGAAAGTGACAGGATCCACAAGAGGGGAGAGGTTGCATGGGCACAATCTGATCTAAAGTCTCAGCCACTCTTTCATTCCAGGCAACGGCCAAGGACTCAGATGGACCATGCAGCAGATCATCAGGAATAACCTCTAGCTCACTCTGAAACCCATCCAGGTCCATTAATTGCTAGAGGTGAACCAATTTAATGAGTCCCACCTCCTTGCAGCAGGGTGCAGAGTGAAAGAATCTCATGGCTACCAGGGCATGATCTGACCATGACAGGGAAGCCACCAAACACTCACCCAATACCAGATCACATTGCCACTGCTCCAACAAGAAAGCCAGATCAAGAGTATGACCACCGCCCCAAGTCAAGCCCTGGCTGTCATGGTGGCCATGAACTCCTGAGCTACCTGAGACCCCACCCCCAGGAAAGGAGAATTAAAGTCTCCCAGAACCATAAGCCTGGGAAACTCCACCGCCAACCCAGAGATTGAGTCAAGGAGCTCAGGCAGGGAGGTTGCTACTCAGCAGGGAGGCTGGTACAGTAGCAACAATCCCAACTGATCCCAAGAGCCCAACTTCAGGAACAGGTTCTCACATCCAGCAACTTGTGAGGCAGTGCCCCTGAAAGCTGTAAGAGACCCAGATTACAACGGCCACACCCCTGCCCCTGCCACAGAGTCCCAGCTGGTGCCAGACCTGAAACCCAGCTGGGCACATTTCTAAGCATGGAATCTTCCCCCCTCCAGACCCAGCCAGGTCTTGGTAATACATGTCAAGTTGGCCCTCTCATCTGTGATTAAATTACAGATGAGGGAGGCCTTATTACAGACTGATTTGGCATTTAGCAGCAACAGCCAGGGCCTCTGAAGATCTGCTGACCAGGAGAAGTGGACGAGACCCAGGGGCTGAAACAAAGGACTGGAAAAGACACAGGGCCCGCCTTCCCTGTTAGCGGCCTGCCCCCAGTCTCTCACCATATCTTCTCATTGACCACTTTGACATTTATGTATGATTTAAATCCTTTATATAGGTTTAAAACCTAAGCTTTTTTTTCCTCCCAAACTTTGACTCAAAGTATATTTACCCATTCTCTTCAAGACATGCAAGGCAGCTGGGATCTCTTGACATAAAAGTTGTCTTAAGTCTGAGAACTGCAGGTTCTTATCTCACCAATTTCATCTGTATCACACTATGCATGAGAGTAGTCTGCCTCCTTCCAAAGCATCAGTAAAATGCCATACTTGTAAGGAAGGGTTGTGCTTCTCATCTCATCTGACAGGAACCAAGAGCACCTCCAAGGCCTTAGAGGCTGGGGCAAACAGAAATTAAGGGAATCACAGAAGTAATGAGCTACCCATTAGCACTAGTTATTCTTGATACCCTGCCAAAAAAGACTAGCACCAGCATTGAGCCATAGGCTTTGATGGGTTCTGACCTATAGTTGGGTATCAGAGAGAAAGCCAGACATTTATATTGTCTACTTTGAAACATTACCATAATTTTGAAAATATAATAATTGAATGTATGGAACTTTTTCTAGATGTTCAAGATAAATAATTCTTAAAGCTGAACTTTAATATTTGCAACATCCTTTTGCATAATGCAAAAAGCTTTTCTATAAAGGAGATCTATAGAAGAGCTAGTTCAGCATAAAACCTATTTATCAATTCACAAATACTGACAGAATTAAATTTGTTGTATGAGTTGTCCATAAACATTAGATTTAAATTAAGATTTTATCATTCATACTTACAGTTGACACTGGTCTCCTTTGATTCCTTTGGTTGTGCAGAAGCATTTTCCTGTTTGCATGTGACAAATATTTGCATGACCACTGCATGTGCAAGCTATAAAATCAAAAAGGAAACAGGTTTAACAATTATAATTATTTATTAATACAATACTTTGGATATCAAGACTATGCATTTGATGGCTTGAATATTAAACAGCTCCATAAACAAAAAGAGCCTTTCAGTCACATGAGATTTTAACTAATTAGAAGAGAGTATACTGTAGTGATTTTTTAAAATCTGTTTTTATCTTCAAATGCGACTCCCTTCATGGAGAAAAAAAAGAAGGAAGGAAGGAAGGAAGGAAGGAAGGAAGGAAGGAAGGAAGGAAGGAAGGAAGGAAGGAAGGAAGGAAGGAAGGAAGGAAGGAAGGAAGGAAGAGTGCAAGTGGAGGCACACTGTCACAGAAGCCATCTTTCCATTTTAAAGTCCTCAGATATATAGTTCCATATCTTTTTGGGGGGAGGCAGATATGTAAGCTTTGTTGGTTTACCGAATATAATAGAAATACACATTCATATAAGCAATATTATTTGAGAAATGATATTTGCAGAAACCAACATCAAACCCCAGAAGTTATCACTGCAACCATTTAAAAAATAATAAAGCTATAACTAAAAGAAAAAGAGAGAGAGAGAGAGAGAGAGAGAGAGAGAGAGAGAGAGAGAGAGAGAGATACAAATAATAAG